AGCGCGCCGAGCGGGCCAAGCGCTTCGGCACGGAGCTCGACGACGAGACCAAGAAGCTGGCCGAGCGGGCGAAGCGCTTCGGCATCGACGACAAGGAGATTGCCGGCGGGCTGGACTCGGCGCTGCCCGAGAGGTCGCTCAAGCGTGGCCGCGGCCGCAACGAGGGCGACGGCAATCGACCCGGCAAGAGGCGCGGCGGCGGCGGCCAGCAGGACCGCAGGCAGCCTTCGGGCAACGAGAGGCGGAGCGAGCGCAACAGGGGCGGTCGGGATCAGGGAGGCAAGCCTTCGGGGAAGCCCAAGTTTGGCAGCGTCATAGAGGATCCTGTCGAGCGGGCAAAGGCCGAGAAGCGGGCTGCCAGATTTGCTGCGGCGTAAGGGAATAGTCCAGTCAGTTTGGCTGCGAAGAGGTGATGCAAAAGGGGAGACGATGTGTGTGTGTCGCATGGAGTATATCGGAAGTTGGAGACTTGACAATCTGATTTTCTCATTTTCTTTTCATTCAACGCAGAGAATACCTGGGGAAACAGGGGGAGGACAAAAACGAAGATTTCGTATTGCAAATGTTTCGGGAGGTATAAGGGGGCAGACCTTTGGACGGAATGAAATGGCATGTACATCATACGAAAGCGCGTTTTCTAATAGGAGGCTAATTGGCGTTGTGGGATCTGAATGATGCTGCTGCTTTTGCGTCTCTGTGATGAATGAAGGCCTGAAGCCCCGAGTCCTCTGGTAAGGACCATGCGTATATCACTCCTGCTCGATACAAGCCAACATTAAAACGATGAAGTTCAGAATCAAGACAAAGACAAAATACCAGCAGCATAATCGAAAATCGATCCAGAGGCGAAGAGACCCTAATCCCTTGCGCTTCTTGAAAGAAAGGGCAGCAGAAAGGTGTGTAACTTGGCCATCTTCTCTTGTCCCAACAACGAACAGCAATTATGCAGGACCTATACCCAGCCGAGCCCAATCTGACTTCCTCGTATAATACACAGCCCAAAGCCTCTACTCTACTGCTTCACTACCATACGTCTTAGCCATCTTCACTTCAACATCGGTCTCTCGCGTTTTGCGTCCCTTGTCACCTACCTACCCACCTACTAGTATCACTCTCTCGATAGGTAGTACCCAAGGTAGGCACGTTCACATGTCCCGCCCTTGGTAAAGAAGCCTGAGAGACATGCTGAACAACTACTACAACAAAGGACTGTTTCGCTGCCCCACGAGACGAATATGAAAAGCAAAAGTTTGCTCCGGTGGGAAGATTACCAAAGAAATCACTGTTGCGCCCATAACCAATAAACGGGCCTCCCTTTTTTTTCATCAGAAAAAAAAGAAAGCCCGCAGCAACTGGTGAGTAAAGTGACTGCTGTTCTCTTCATCATTGTCACATAGGTAGTCCATCCCCATACGTATCTACCTTACCAGAGAGTATCAGCAGCAGCAGAATCTATCACGAGAACCGCTCCCATCACATGCTCTGAAGCAAGAAACCCATGAATCCAGCAACAACAGGAAAAAGAATGCCCATCCCCATCCCCATTCCCATCGCATGCAATCAATCATCCAAGAATCACCACTGCCCATATCTAATCTTATCCTCCTCCCTTATCCGTACGTAGATACCATCATGCATGTAATTACTTACTAAACTCGCAATATCACACAAAGCCAGACTAAAAAAACCCGTGATCTCCGCTCCATGCCCACATCCCAGCCTCATCACATCAATCACATCTCCATCTGCCCCAAAGGACCCCCCCTCCTACCACCCCCCGCTGCTCTGTTAAACAAGCCCCTTGCCCCTCTCTGAAGAATGGCCTCCAAACTCAATTACACGGCAAGAAATACAAGAAAAAAGGACGAAAGGGATCCTCCGGGCGTCAAGTCCACACCCTCTTATCCTATCTGCTCTATGTAACTCGTATACATTATCCCCCTCTTCCTTTAGTAAAAGTGATGTGTCGACTTGTCACCAGCGGTATCTAGTATAGTATGGGCTCATTGTTTTCTAACCTCCTAGTACTACTACCCAGGTAGTAGTAGATAGTCAGTGTGATGTACAGAGCAGAGACTAGGCATCTGGCACTTCCGTGCGGGAAGTCAATCTAGCCGTTCAAGCTAACAATGATGTGCCTACTTTTGTGAACAGTCATTTTTTTCTAACAAGCTCCATCCATCGTTTCATTCAAGGGCAGTGGGCTTCCGTCTCGCTGAATAAGAGGATGATTTACGCGCCGGGCAATGCAGGTCAGAGCATCAAGCATGTCGCTAGCCCAGCCCTGGCAGCTGGGAGTGGGTATGAGGGGAGAGTCAATCGCAATGAGGACAGCATCTCGGTGGGCTTCTAAGCTTCAAGACGCTGGATGGGAACTCTCCGAACAAGAGAAATTGCCTTGGGAGAGGCATCAAAGTGTCGGGAGCAACGACGAGTAGGATGGGTCGGAGGGGGGCAGTAGGAAGGGTTGAAGGTGATGACAAGTTCTCTGTTCCTCAGCTGAGCAGCTGTGAGGTTGTATCGCCGAGATGCTGGTGATTCGTCTGCAGTAGTAAACACCACTTTCGACTAGAGAGTGAAGCGTCAAGAAACCAGTTTCTGACCCTTCTGGCTCCTTCGACCGCACGGGGCTATAGCCGGCTCATATCAGAATCGAGCCAATATCTGCAGTCAACGGGTGTCCGATGTGAGAGTAGACTGAGCTGATTGTCCGAGACATCCAACAGCAAGAAAGACTCATGCCATGAATATGCAGAAGGGGGGCAGAAGAATAGATAGTTTCCATGTACTAGTCAGATATCAGCCGCTGCGTTAATCGGGGAACAGAGGCCAATCACTCGACGGCCTGCCAGCCCTTCAACGCAGCCACCAGGTTGACCGGCTTGATGTGTCATACGAATGGACCAACAACAAGCCCAGCAAAGGATCCTTCTCCAAGTCGCCCTGGGACGTAGTCGGGGCCAACGCGCTAATCCCGCATTTTGAGAAAAAGCCAGCTTTCCAATGACTCCCTCTGCACCAACTCAAGCTCTCCAGCCATGGCGCAACCACCACATAAGGAGCCGTCTAGCGGCTCGCTCGGTCGTCCGTTCTGGAGGTTGAGATGAGCAGAGATTTTCACCTCGGCGAGCCAGATTCCGTGCTGGTCTCCACACGCCCAGGCCCCTCGGTAGACATGATTCAGCATTGGAGCAGCACAACACCCAAGGACTGGTTGAGCGGCGTTGGAGAGTGGTGCACTTCTCGTCACGTTACTTGGGGACCTTCAAATCCGGGAACCAATGGCACGCCCGAAACCCTTGCTGAGCTAAACGAGACGGGTACGAGATGGGTTCCTCCGCCTGGCGTCCTGCACACCTCGATATTGATAGTACTAGATGGGAAACTGGGGTGTGAAGGCTTGCAAAGGTAGGGGCGCCAACATGATTCGCCAGTCGCTGCCGTAAGGAGAGGTATCGTTCTTGTTCTCAACAGCAGCATGTTGCACCCGGTCCTGCGTGCGAGTAAGTTTTTGCCTGACTAAGTCAAACAGTCCAAGTATCAGCGTCTCCGGCAGTGTGCCGGCTCAGTAACCAAGGCCGCCGGTATGCCTTGTCAAGCCGGCCGAGGCTCGGAGAGAGCCTGTACGACTTCCTGACTTGGCAATTTGGCCTGTCCGTGCACAGAATCCATGCCTGGTCCATGAGCGAAGAATCACACGTCGTGAAACCCCAGTGACAAGAGCCAACTCAAATTGTTCGTCAGCAAAAGGCGCCGGTGCTGAATCTGGCAAGTTGCGGACAATTCGAAGCCACAGGCCAGCCCCACAAAGCCACGGCGGGAGCGGGACGTGCCACGTCAACAAGCCTCACGCCTGTCCCGACTGTGGCCAAGTGTGGCGAAGCAGCTTGCTTGCTGCAGCTCGATATTCTTAGCTGGCAGGTTGCCTCCGTCCAGCGTCATGATGTTGCCTTTCGTCCTGAAAGAGAGGCAAGTTATGCAGAAGCCTTACAGGAACTCGCATGAAAGACTCGCCATTAACACGCAGTCGGTGACCGTGATGAACATGGCCAGCTCATACGCGTCGCCACTGGCCGTCCAGGCCATGGGTGCAGTTTTTCAGCTCCGTTGTGCACCCCGAGCTGTTGGGTCGAGCATACGGCCTCGAGGATGATTGACCCGACATCTGCCGCTTGCTTAGCGTTTGAAAAGAGGCGTACTACTGGGGAAGGAAGGGATTACCCGTTTGCTATTATTATCCTCCTGGCACCGCGTGGACAACATTTCGGATGGACTCCATTCCATCATTGGGCCATGATGGAGCGTATGTACTTCGTGTGCTGCCGGCCCTTGATCAGCAGATGGAAACAGAGGCTCATCCGGAATACCGAATACTGTAGTCTTCTGAGAGGATTATGTAGCCTGCCGGAATCAGCTGCTCAGATTATCAAAGACTCTCGTCAACGCTTTGCAATCTTGATTCCTCAAGTCGAGTCACAAAATAGCTGAGGCGTATTGTGTAATTAGCATGCCGGGGTGTAGTGCTTGTCGGCTTACTAGTGATTTTGGGGACGAGGCGTTCTGCTATGGGGGGAATCCTGGCAAGCAGGAGACGGAAAGCCTGGAGCAGAGCGATTGGCAGAAAATGCTGAAAATAGTAGCCAATGGTAGCGCAGAGACAGCCGCCATCTCATCTAATATGGACGAATCGTACCGTTTGTGCTGGAGGAGCACGGTCTTGTACCTGGTACGGGCCGTGCGTTCGAGGAGAAAGTGGACAGAGTGAGCCCCCCGAGCTGGACTGCCCGCTTAGAGTGACGGACCCCTGGCCATCTTTGCTTCCGCGGTGTGATAGTGGTGGTGCGTCAATTTGCGGTTGCGGCTGGCCTCCGGGATTATCTGTGGTGCAACAACGGTTTAATATGTTGATGTGTGACAATATCGGAAATGACGAGAGGGAAGGAAAATCTCTTCAGGCCTGCGAGCAGTGCTTCCCTTTCCGCCGAAGGGCTGGTCGAGCATCACGGAAAGATACCACCGGCAGGGCCACTAATGGTGATGTTCCGGAAGCAATAGTAGCGAGGAATCCCAGCAGCGCTCCGTAGCATCTGCTCATACATGTGTACTAGTAATGCTCCCCAGCCGGTTGCATGCAGATGGAAGATGCACCAGAGGCCCATGCAGGAGCATCTCCAAACCTTGGATAAGGGCCGACGTCTGCCCGTCCAGGCGTTCATCTGGAAAGCATTGGATACGGGCGTAGGATTCAGTGCTACCACCGCAATATCCAGGCTGATGCCCTCGTCCAGCTGGTGGTGGCTCTCTCGGGCAGCGGGATGATTGATGCCCGCGTGAGGTCGCAGAAGGGCGAGCATGCAAGTGTGTGCCCACTGCTCGCCAATTGACTGAAAGGATGCATCTCCCAGGTGCATATGTCTTGCATCACCTTTCAGACGTCGGGGTGGGTGAAGGACGCACTAGAGAGACAACTAGATTAGTAGGAAGACATGGCTATTATCACGAAATAGCAGGCCTAGACAGTCGGTGACTTGGCGCCCTGGCACCGGACATGGATATGGTGAGCATGTTAGGAAGAGACAAGATGGAGGCTGATGGATCTATGCGGGGCAGATTGACAATGAGGCTCGTTGACGGAGGACACTGGATGTGCAAGGCCAGGTGAAGGTTGGATATTGGACGTCGACAGTTGCAGGTCGATGCCTCAGGCTGTGTGTAGAGAGAGTGCGGAGTAATACTTGGGCCAATGTACCATCTCGCCCACTGGACGCTGACGAGCTACAGGCGGGGGAGTATCACCAGCAGCAGCAGCAGCAGCAGGCAGCATCTGCACATACGAGAACTCGAAGCTGCACACCCTCTTTGTTCCTCACCATCCATCTCTCCCACCCCTTCAGGCCCTGCCAGAAAAATTTGACACCCTACCTACGCTGTCCAGTAGGAGGAGATGGATAAGCTAACAACGCAGATCGTGCGGAAGTGCTGAGACATGCAGCCACCGCGTCTTCTGGATCGACCTGTCGGAGTCGACAGAAATGAGACATACATGGACAGGCAAGACATGTCTCAGACATGCATACAGCCTCTAGCAGACGACATCCGGTGGCCTCTTCCCAGGCTGGCCGTAAGCGGCCGGCGAAGCTCGGCTGGAGCAAGAGGAGAGAAGAAGGGGGGACGAGCAGACGGATGGACGGATAGACGAGTGCCATGTGGCCGCCAGCAAAGTCGCCTTCTCGACGTTGACGATGGCGATAATGCGATGATGATGATGATGATGACGATGACGATGTTGGCGGTGGCCCTTTGCCCTGGGCCGTGGTCAAAGCGACCTTCTGAACATGTGGCCATCTCTCTCTCTACTCCGCCTCACCAACGACCTGTCCATCTTCTTTGCTGCAAGCTGCAGAGCCCGCGAGGCCCAATTGCGCGCGACAGTTAGCCTGGGAGCCAATGAGTCCCTCGCACGCCGTGTCCCGTCGGCCTAGTCCTCGCCGCCTGGCGCCTCCAGGGACCACGGCAGCCTTTCATCTTCAACGGCGAGGCCAAGCGGAGACCGCAGACCCTCGGCCGCCCCACCGCTACTGGGGATTCTGGGATGCTTTGGATGCTTGGACTGCCAGGAACAGACGCCGTCGGCCAGGCCTTGTACCCAATCGCCGCCTCGCCCTGCCCGGCCTGGCGCTGGCGAGATGCCATAGGATGCGTGGATGCTACTACGGGGAGAGGACAAGGAGGGACAGGCCCACGGCCGCGTCTTCATGCGCGCATGGCGGCGCAGCTGCAGCTGCATCTGCAGTCGCAGCAGCGCAGTGCCACTGATCTCCCCAAGCTTCCGGGACCCCCCAGCACCCATGGACTGGCCATCGCACTGCCTCCGATCGGCCACATTTGACCGCCGCCCAAGGCCGTCGCCAGCAGTGTGCCATCGTGTGCTGCTTGCTGCTTCGGGCACCGTCAAAGCGTTGCTGGCCTGGCCTGCTGCTCTCCACAGGCACCACTCCCGGGCCTGGGTGTGTTCAACCACTCACGACGCTCCATCCGGAGGCCTTCATCGCCTAAAGAGGCATCACACCCACAGCGATGCCAATGATCGAGTCTACAAAGGCTGCTTTCCCATCCGCTCCCAGCAGCCTCACCCGCCTGGTTTCCCCGCCCTCTGAGTCTTCTCTATAGCGACTCTCGTTGGTTTGTCCTCAGCGTCGACCTGAACCCTACCGCCGGACCTGGTTTTGCCACTCCACTCCTCCTCGTGCCTCTTTGCCACGCCTGTACCTGTACTCGCAAACGGGACCAATCGATCCCCAGCTGGCGAAATCCTTTCCAAGCTCGACATCACCCCTGTCGCCCGCCCCAAGCCAAAGTGCCCTTCTGGCCCGGCACAGTCAAATTTACCTACTCGCAAGCGCCCTCAGCAACACTAAGCTACTCCGTGCCTAGCTCAGCTTATTCCCGTCTCGGGCTGCATCCCCACTGCGCCGGTCCTCTGAGTCTGCCGGTTTCTTTTATACTATCGGCACTCCATCGTTACATTGTTCCCTTTCCTCACAGAATAATTTCTTTTTGTCCTCTTCGCTTATCCTTGAAAGAACCACTCTTCTTTGCTCTCTTGAAGGCCTTGGCGGAAGGTTCTCTTTCTGCTTTGAAGCTGTTTGACCAGAAACCCTCGTAACCTGCCTTCTGTTGCCGGATCTGGTGTGCCAGCAGCTGTACTAACAACGACTCGACGCCCAAGAAGACAGAGAAAAGTGAGGCTTCGACCAGGCCCTGGGTCAGTGAGGAGGTAAGGAGGCTCTTTTCAACGAATCAATGCGTTGATTTTACCCGAATTACCTGTGCTCTTCTCCGGCCTCACCTTACTATGTGTTAGTTACGTTGCATTTGCTGACATGAAGGCAAGACAAGCTTTGACTCGAATAACACCTTGGACGAAGCATGCCTCTCTCTACATTGTAAGAGGCATGTTCGGAACACGACAAATATCCCACGAGGTTGGAACAGTATGGCATCCCCCAAGGTGGGATATGGGTTACCGGCCAGGCCTTCAGATGGCCTTCGACGACGACCCGAAGACTCGAGGTTGTTGAGTGGCATTCCGAAGTCCACCTCCCGGACGACCGAAAGAGAGACGGAAGTACCAAAATTGGTAAAGAAAGAGTCATCACAACCCCGTGTGGCCAGCCGAGTTCCTCTCCCATCGTCAGCACGCCGCCCCTCTCCCTCTACTACACAGCAATCTGGCCCCAAGGCAATCCCAGACCGGCATTCAAAATCATGGGGCTCGGCAACGAGCTCTTCTGGTTATTCACGGTCCCATACGCAAACAGAATCGGGATCTTCCTCTTCCAGTCGGTCATTTGACAGTAGCACAAGGCTGGGACAGAATGTGCCGAGACGGACGAAGCCCTCTCCATCGCCCGAGGCAGGCAGCCTGCTCAATGGCGCTCCTAATCTGGGTTCGAACTCTTCAAGGCACCAATCGCAAGGTAGCGTGGATTCGGCACTCGGTATCCAATTTGATCGAGGTATCACAGCAAGCCCAAGCGCCATTCAGAGGGAGGAGCCGGCGGAGGTCTCAAAGGCTGTTGGCCAGTCTCCCGTCATTTACCCCGAGCTGGATCGCTACCGTCATCATGACCGAGCACGCAGTACTTCGAATAGACCGGCTATAGATATGCCTTACCGCTTGGCTACTCACGATCTTCCTCCACCAACGCCTGGGAGCTTGCTCTTCTCAGCCAACAGCAGCCAAGTCAGCGCCATCAGTGGCAGTCCCTCAACGAGGTTCTCTACGTCGCCGGGTCCGGGACCGTATAGCCGAGACACCACGCCAACTTCGATATCGTCACAGTCTCCCGGCCTTATTGCCCCTAGCAGGGCATTCCCTATGAACAAGTTTCGGCAGCACAGCCCCGCTTTCACTCGCCCGCCTGTTACTCGACGAAGAACTGGAAGCATATCGAATGAGGTGGACTCCATCAGCGTTGATCCCCATGGCTTGGCTGCGGTTCGAGAATCTCTGACATCTTCATCGTCAAGTTCTACTGTCAAGGGTAGTGTCATAAACCCAAAGAAGGAAAGGAGAGGCGGAAAGAGCCTCGCAGCGCCGCCGCCAAGCCCTCCTCCGCGGAAGTCTTCGCAGTCTTCGCAGAAACCCTTCATCAGTGAAGACGAGGATGAGCTTTCTCCCAGACAGAAACGTCAGCCGGGGAGCCAACCCATGGCGGTCTCGTCCCCGCCGAGGTCTGGTCTTCCTCTCCGCAACTATCAATCACCATCACCGCAGGCTATGCCGCCGCGCCGACCCAGCCGAGATGGCACATCCGACCTCAAGTCCCAGCTGTTTACTCCCATTCCAGTCATCCAGAGTAGCCTGGCACTCCGAGCCAACTTCGAGAGACGCGATAGCGAGGCGACAATCCCTCCTCCTTCCCAAACCATAGGGCTACAGTCTAACAAGAGTGCATCGACATCAAACTTACCCACAGCCGAGCAACCCGCCACATCATCCAAACTGGCGGGCCGGAGGAAGCTTAGCATCTCTGGTCCAGTTCGAGCAAGCGGTACGCCATCGCCCACTGTCAAAGCTTCTTCTGGCTCTCGTTTTCCCTTCTTTGGGCGCAAAAAGGCTGCCTCAGAGAGCACGGCCAACGACAAGGACAAGAAGGAGAAACAGAAAGTGTCCCGAAAGGGCCCGGCAGCTGGGACAGGCCATGAAGGTTACGGGCGACTGGGCGCTATTCGACGGCGAAGCGGGATTGTCGCGGCTCCGCAAGTATCCAACGAGAGCCTTGCCAGTGGTGACTCCTTCCTGGCTGACCGCATCAACCCTGTCATTATCGCTGGAGGAGCTATCGTCGAAAATCGGAACGCCAGCGCAGAGCTTATCAGGTCAGAGAGCAACCTGAGCTTGACGACAGACGACCGTCCGAGCATTGATTCGATTGCAAACTCAACCACGTCTTCTGCGCCAAGAGGTGTGTCGGGACCGAGTCTCTGGCCGTCAGCCATCCCTCGCGAACGGAATCAGATGCCGAGTGCTCGAAGACCATCAGACAGCTCTGACACTGGAGGCGCGCCTATACAATCTACTCTGGCGTATAGACGATCGGTTCAGCGATTGAAGTCGTTCCCGGACGACCCTCTGCAGCTGCCACGGCCAATCAACACAAGCGGGGTGATCACATCTCCCCTGACGAGCTTTGATACCAGCATCATGTCTGATGAGTCCTCTCTGTTCAATCTGCAGCAACTGCCTTCTCAAGACCTCATCAACAATAATCATCCAGCGCCCAAGAAGCTCAAGAAGAAGCCTCGATCTCCGAGAAAGTGGAACTTCTTCAGCAGATCCAACAACCAGCCCAAGTCAGAAAAAGCAAGTGAGCCAGTAGCCGTTACTGTCCAGCCTGTGGAGAAGAAGCCGGTGGCCTTTTACACCATCATGGACTCACCTGAGCAAGGGGTTGCCGAACCCGACCTCAAGGAGATTCTGCGCGAGGCCGACGCTTACGCACGCTCACCTGCCAACGTGGATACCCCTGAGGTGCAGGCAGAAGAAGCTCATGCGGTCAATGGATCAAGCTTGCAGCCTCAGTCAAACATCCTACCAGAGCCTCTCTCACCAGTCCAAGACCCTTATCCTGCATTGATTGAGCCAGCCTTTCCTCAAATGGAGGGGATACCTCCACCGGCAGTAACGCTGAGCTCTGGAAGGCCCAGCCGCTTGGCCCAGGTCGGAAGAATACCCCAGGTGGTGAGCAACCGTCCGGCAAGGCCGTCTCCGCGCAGCTTCTCTCGGCCTTTCGTCGCGAACCAGCAGCTTTCTCTGCATATACCCCAGACGCACGGCGTAGGCTTGAACCCCAGGGTGCCGAACTTTTCAAAACCGGCCACTCCAGTTCCCGATGCAAGCGGTGGCGACGGCTCAACAACAGACGCGGGCACCGAATTCTCATTCTTCAGTGAGCCCAGGTCTCATATTACCCCCAAGGATACAGCCACACAAGAGTTCCTTGCCTTTTCTCCTCGCAAGAATTCTGACTGTACCACCAGCTCGACTGAGTCCTGCGTCTCATACAACTATGCAGAGGCGACGGCTATCATTCCCAAGCCTGGCGACCCGCCTGTCGATGATGAAGTCTGGGATGAATATGATGATCTCCTTGGAGAGGAAACTGTGAAAGAACGACAGTCGACGACGTCTTCCAGGGGTATTCCGTTTCATCTTGAAAACTACCACCTGAAGCTCGCAAAAGAGAAGGCTCTCGAATCTCCCACGCTTGTCACTGATGGCCGTAAGCTGTCAACCATTTCAGATGCCCCGACAGCTTCCACGACCTTTAGTGCCGATATGACAGAGAGAATTCGAAAGGCCTTTCAGCCCCATCCCAGCCCTACGGTGCCATCTCCCGTGCCGGAGGTCCCTGAGCAGAAAGATGGCGGACATTCAAGGAAGCCCAGCGCCACTGAAAGCATGCGCCACAGTATCACCTCTATCCGCAAATCTACGCAATCAGGCTCGTCCACCTCTTCCGGAGAATGGACGCCCCTTGCTCAAGTCAATCTCCGGGTGGGTTCCATGACCGTCTCGAAGTGGCTTTCCTTTGGTCAAGTCCTCTTCAGCGACATTCGGCATTTGCTGGTGAAGGGTATAGAGTCCCCCGAGCGCCCATCAGTTCTGGTCATCGACGGGCTTGGCAACGACGATTGGTCGTTTTATGCCGCGGAAACATACTCCACAGCCGACTTCTTCAACCTCTCCCCTCGAGCCCCCCTGCCCACCGACGTCGAGAGCTCGGCATCTCGCTACCCTTTGGGTCCACCGAACCACCATCAGGTGCAATATCTTTCCCAGCTCGACGAGTTTCCCTTTCCTACGCATACCTTCAACTGTGTCGTCTACCGATTTCCCGCTGCTGCCCCGGAGTCGCACTATCAGAATGTCCTTTCCGAAGCCCGTCGTGTGCTCAAGCCGGGTGGATACCTTGAACTTTCCATTCTCGACGTCGACCTAAACAATATGGGCAATCGCGGGCGTCGGACCATTCGTCAACTCAAGGAACGCATTCACGAGTCCTCGCCAGAGACCAACTTGGCGTCTACTGCTGACTTGATCGTTCGACTCCTGGGCAAGAGTGGCTTTTCGACAATCAAGGCTGCTCGCGTCGGTGTTCCCGTTGCAAGCTCCATCACTTCCTCTGATGACAACTCGCAAAGCCACGGTTTGGCCGAGAACAAGAAGAAGAGGTCATCTAAGAATCAGCCCAGCTTGGCCGAAATGATGCGAGATCACAGCCCAAACGCAGATGAAGGCATCACCAACATGGTCTCCCGGGTCGGTCGCTGGTGGTATTCTCGGTGCTACGAGAACGCAACCAGTCATTCTTCTGGAAAGAACAGCATCTGGAACGACAAAGCCTTGCTTAGGGAATGCGAGGAACTGGGCACTAGCCTCAAACTGATGGTTTGCTGTGCTCGTGCGCCTGAGGGGATCAACGCTGTCTAAGCATATGCTGCCACATCTTTTCATTTGCACCCTAGAATTGTTTTCCTCATCTGCAGCTTTTGTTTTGCTTTCATATTTCACCTTTCTCTGTATCTTCCCACTGGCGACTGGAAGCATGACACAAGAGAAGAAAAACTCAAGAATGGAAGACATGGCGCAAGCCATCCTCAAGACTGGATCTTTAACGAGCATGATTCGACCATTCCATTTTCTGCTCTTCCTTTTATCGTCCTTATGCTTGACCTTTCTATCTTCACTATTCGACAACATCCGAAGGGTTGGATCTTTAATAGCGCAAACCCGAGATTTCTTCCTCCCTTCAACAGATGAGCAGCGAGCAGCACATTTGTAATGACTGTCACGCCTTCATAGCGCGCGTTGGATTTCTTTCTCGGATTTTGTTTTTATTTTTCCTTGTTCTCTCTCACCTTCGCTTTCATCATCTTTTCATTTCTAAATTGCCGACCGCCGGCCGGAGGATTCAGTTGCCGGATAAACGAAATTGCTTTACTCTGCGAGATCTCTTTCTCATCCCTATTGGCTTTGGGGGTTCACATTAATGGAGCGTGGCTCGCTCTTCAAGGGGGCTGAAGCAAAAACGCAATGGCTGGCCGACGCAGGACCGCAGATGCCCCCTTTGGAAGTTAATATCCTCTCGATACTCTACCTGAGGTTTGTATCAAGAAGGACGAGCGCAGGAGGAGGACGATTGACCTTGGCAAAAGGGGTGACGGGAAGTTGGTCTTTTTCATTTGAACGAATGCGATTATGACGACTATGACGAATCTTATGAATATTTCTTCTTTTTGTTTCCTTTTCTTGTTTGCTTCGCAGCTTTGGAGCGTTGTATATAGAGATACCCGCCATCAATTGGTAGATTATGGGGCAGAGAGAATGTTCATTGGCAGGTACCTTGAGAAAAGAAATTGCAATCAAGAGAGGCATTTTGGCTTGATATTTTCTTCCGTATGATCGAATTTGTGAACTATATAGAGAGTGGAATGAACTGAGTAGGGTTTCCTCTATCGTTGATACTCGATCTGGGCTACGTTGATTGACGATTTGATAGAAGACGGCTTGGTTGTCTCGGCAGGAATAGCTAGTTGTGCATGATTAAGCTTTTGAGATGAACTACCTTTACATCTAATGTTAGTAGTGGGAGAGAGAATCTTCATCCATCTACATGTATCAATTCTCTCCCTGTGTACCAGACTTACATACGTCTTTGTTTCGCGAAACTTGTCAAGCTTTGCCAGTATATCTACCCAAAGCAGATGCTTATCGAGCTAGGTTCCCATGGACTGTAATAAAGGTGTACAAGGAAATGCTCCATACGATTATTTAGGGTTATAGCTCTTAGTAGACATCGGCTTCACTCCTGAACCTCCGTTTCTTCCGCAGGAGCTTCCTGCACCGGCATCTCCGAAACCGGCCATCGCCGCAATACAGCCACAAACCCTCCGCCGGCAACACGTTCCCCTACCCGCGGCCGCATCACCTGCACCGGCTTCTGATTGCCCCCCTCGCCTTGCTCGGCCCTCGGCACGACCATCTTGACGTCCCAGTGTCGGCCTCCGGAACTGTCGTGGACGCCGCCGTCGGAGGCGGTGGTGGAGTAGAGCTCGATGACTTTTTCCATGCGCACGGGCTGCTTCGTCTCGTTGGACCAAGCTTGGAAATCGGCAATCTGGCTGATGGACGGCTTGAAGAGGATGAGCAAGCCGTTGGGATGCAGGGCTTCGATTACCCGCTCGGCGTTTTCGTGAGCGGAAGGGAGGTCGAGGATGGCGCGGGAGAGGAAAGGCTGTCCGCCGGTCTGCTCAAGCCGTCGGCTGAGATAGTCATCCACGGAGCCGACGTGGAAGTCGACGGAAGGCAGGTACTGCGCGCGGCGAAAGTTCCGGACCAGCTTATACGCGGCGCGGGCATGCTTCGAGTTGCGATCGAGGGTATGCAGGACGGCACGGCGGGAGGACGCATACTCGTCTAGAGAAGCCTGCTCCTCGGGGGAGATGTCGAGGCAGCCTCTTGAAGTGGCAAAGTCATAGCGAGGTTTAAAGGGTGAAGAGACGAGGATTTGCCTGAGGGCAGCTGGTAGAGGCGGGTTTGCGGCGTGCAAGGCGCGGGCGATGTGGAGAGTGAGGCTGCCCATGCCGGTGCCTGCCTCGAAGATCTCAAAAGGGGGAGCTTGATCTTCTCCTTCTTCGTCTTCTCCGGGACGGGAGGGGTTGAGGTCCAGGAGAGACACAATGGTGTTGGCGTCGTTGGGGTAGATCTGCGACTTGTTTTAGAACCAACTTCCACATCTAACTTTGCGTTATCAGGTTTACAACTCACTGGTGTGGCAAGACGCTCGCTGTTGATGATGTAGCTTGCAAGAGAGGGTTCATGCAAAACGACGGAATTGCCGGCGCTGTCCCGAACAATGTCGAGGATGCGACGGCCGATGAGGTCTCTGCCGGAAATGGAAGCGCCGTATGAGAGCTTCACGCGGGACTCTGGCTTCAGGGGAGCGGAGAGGTGCCATTTTGCGTGTTTGGCGCCGTGTTGGCGCAGGAATAGGACATCGTGCTCTGTCGTCGGAAGAAAGGGTTGGCTGTCTAAGTCTATATTCTTTCTTGGGAGGTGCTCGACTGGGGCTGCAGAGACTTACCTTTGATGGTGCGGTTGGAAGAGTAGAGGCGGCAGCTGAGTTTATTGGTGCCATTCTTTAGTTGCTGGACATGTCTGGAGCTCGATTGGCTGCAAAGTAGTGGCATTGTTGGTAGACTATGTCTTATATATGCTTGAGAGAGAGAAGAACGTCTGGTGGTAGTGGTTTTATGAGATCACCCGAAATGATTTTGCGCCGGTGATACCTCGGAGCGCGTTATGGTGGTTGAGCTGCGTGCGATAAGGCACAGAACCCGACGCCATATTGAACCATTGCCAGCAAACGATACCTGCAGATGAAGTTCAATGCCAGTGTGAGGCTATTCACAGCTGTCTTGGGCAGATCAAGCATATGATGTCATCATGTCTTTATTCATTACCAGTTGAAGTTTTTATACTAACGGCAAGTCAAGTCGAAAAAAGAAGGCGCGATGAGAAAATCAGGGTGCTCCCGCTCCTTCCCAGAAGGACGGGTCTGGTCTACCAAGTACACCGTCTGCATGACAATTGACAAGTGCCTCGTCCGTTCCTGCCATCCAAACTCCGGCCTGCCTTCGCCTTCCCGATAAAGCAGAGAATGCTCGATAAAGGTAGTTTTTTTCTGCTCAAGTCCCATCAACTCCTCGTTCGCCCTGTAACAACAAAAGTCTGGCCACCAGCTTCTCTCAAAACATCGCGTCCGGCCTCTCCCTCGTGCATCTCCAGAATCATCAAAACAAAGCAAAAGCAAGACATCGCGAATCAGCGCAAAAACTGGAGCAAAAACAACGGATACTATTATACACGGATGACAACGCATCCAAGGGGGGGAAAGACCTCCAAAACGCCGGCTCGAGAGTGCAACAACTTGCGTGGATAAAATTCAAGGAAATCGACTAGTCAGCGTCGGCGAGATGAGAAAGGAAAAGTCCGCGATGGCGGAAGATGAGTGTCAAGTGTCCAAAACTCCAAGCTCGATGTGAGATGGCAAACAGGACGTAACCGAAAAATTGTCGCTAAGTATAGGCGCCGCGATCCTCTTGATGCTGGGTATTAACCGCCCGCTAGACTCCGTGGGAATCTCGACAAAATATTGCTCGCTGAAACGCTTCACAAGGAAACGAAAGACAGGGTATCGTGATACCTGATGTCTGCGCCAGTCGGGTTTGCAGACATATCCACAGTTCGGAGGCGATTCGCTAGATGAAGCCCCATGATCGACTCGTCGAACCCATCTGAAGAGCTGCTGCCCAGGCATTCTGCGTTTCTGGAGCATGCTCGGTCGTGTGGAAGTCCTCTTCGAAGTAGGGGTTGATTCTGACTCCCACATGCTCCTCGAATATGGTCACGAGTGTCTCGTACCGCCTTCGGCATCTCTTTGTCCACGGATCGACCTTGAGCGGGCTGTGGTAGCAGTAACTATTCGGACGGGAATCGCGCATTGCAAACATGGTGTTCATGTTCCGCAGCAGATTCCAGTAATCATTTGCGGCTTGCTTCGCGGCATCCGACTGAGGAGATGCCGCATACACCAGCAGCAGTATGGCGTACCGGATGGAAACCACTTCGACGCTGGAATGTCCATGTCTTTGTTCGAGCTGTCTCTGTAGTACACGAAGCTCAACAACTAACTTCTCCAGCCTTTCTGGGTTCACCTGGCTGTAGAAAAGCGCAAGATCGGCCCATGTGCGAGCCACATACGGATGCTTGCGGCCATAGATGGCCTCGAGCTCCTCTGCAATGGTCGAGATACTGGTCCACAAGAGCTCGGACAAAGTCTGCGCTCCGTGCTTCTGTTGCACTTCATACAGACAAGTGAAGATTTGTCGAAGGGGATGGGTCCGCTCCAGATTGGTTGTCGAATACGCCGCTAGGTATTTGCAGAGCGCCGTCATCATGCCGGGATCGCGATTGATCATGCCCAGAATTAGCTCCATGATACCTTGTGGCGAGAGCTTCCTTAGGTCCAGCTCGAGCTGTTTGAAGGCCCGCATCAAGTAATCGCCGCCTTGGTCCGCGTCGCGAGCTTCGAAATAAAAGTTGGCCTCGAGCAGGAGCTCACTCGATCCAGCCCCCCAAACCATGGTTGACGGCCAGCCAATCTGCGTCTCAGTCTCCATCTCGAATTGTCGACAGTGCAGAAATGCTTTGCGCATGTTTCCAACGACTACCTCCTGCGCGCGAAGCAGGTCGGGTGATCGAAGTGCCGGAGGTGGTGTCGGCGTTCTACATCGGATATGCGCTGGAAGGTCGGCGGGTAGTTCGAAATCAACGAGGTCGTACTCCGTCACTCCTTTCCGTTTCAGATAGGTACCCAAGTTCACGACCCTGCCGTTTCGGACGAACTCGGAAACTTTGCCCTCGGCATCGCGCTGGAACTTCATCGACAACAGCCGCTTTACTTCTTCCTCCGTGTTGTTTTTCACGAAACCCCATTGAGAAAATCTCGTCTTGTACATCTTTGGCCTGAGAAAGGGGTTAGACAAGCTTCAAAAAGAACAAGAAAGACGAATGATGGAGCAGAAGCAAATTCGATCCCCAACTCACGTTGCTTGAAACCCATATTGTTCAGCCATGACGCTCATGACTTCTTTCAAGGGTTTTCTCTCCTCGAGATAGAGGGTTCGGATGGTGGATTTATATTGCTCCCAGGCCTCTGCAGGAACCTGTTCCCGTGACGGCCTAGTACCTGCCTGGGCACGAAGAGAAATCGAATCCCGCCGTTGTGCCTAGATGAGCGCGTTAGTACATCCTGCCGTAAAAAGCCCTCTCGGTTTAGCGGTATTGCTCACAACAGTAGGTGTGGATGAAGAAGACGGTTCGGAGGGGCGAGGCGGTTTGGGAGGAGGAGACATTGGTCCTGGAGTGGAAGCAACGGCTGGTGTCGGCGCCAGTGCCGGTGTTGGTATTGGCGCTTGCACAGGTGCTGCTGGTGTCTGCGCCGAGGGTTGTGATTGTGCGAGGATGGGTTTTCGAGGAGGCAATCGAGGCCTTGGAGGTTTTGCTGGAGCCTTCCCTTTGGCCGCCTTGGCGCTGGGGTTGAATTCCAAGATGAACTGGTTACCTGTGTTGACCACCGGTTTTGGCGTCGTCGGTACGGGAGGTCTGAAATAACCGCCAAAGTTGTTGGCCGGGTTGGTGATTTGTGAGGGTTCGGGTTTAGGTGTCATTGAGGGAGGAGGTCGCCATATTTCGAATCCAGGCGTACCAGGCACTCCAGGAGCGGCCATGGGACTGGCCATCATGGGCGCCGACGCCATTGGTGTCGACACCATCGGGCTGTTTACGCGGGCAGAACTCATAAAGCCATCCATGCTTCCAAACGGCGTACCAATACCGGGACTATGCACCTGCTGAGTGTCATGAAAGCTGCCATAGCTTATACTGCCGGAGCGGCCCATGTTGGTGATGATTGAGGTGGGCGTCGGGGGCGAATGCACACCGAGCGAGCCATATTGAGATTCACCTGGGCTAGCAACGGGACTCGATATCCTATGCGTATGGGCTACAGAGTTTAGACTGCCAAATTGCGACGACATTGAAGGACTGTGGCCCATGTGGTGCGGTTCATGCGGCTGGTTATTGATGGGCCGCGGAGGCAATGGCGGGACATAACCTTTATTCTCAAAATGCGCGACCAGGCGGCCAACCCCTCCCCCTCCCTGAGGCGAACCAAGGTTGTCCAGTTCGACATTTTCCACCGGCGACATGGCCACTCCGTCGCCGTGGTGGTGAAAGGTCGTATCGATCTCGGGCGTCCAGTCCATTACCGATGCGGTGGAATAGGCCCGTCCGGTTCTCTGAATAGGCTGCGGAGGCATCGCCGGCGGAGGCGACGACACATTGCCCAGGCCATACCTGTCCCAGGCCTGGTTGACAAACCCGAACGGATCATCGTCGAAGCCAGGCGCGTGAGGCTTTTCCGGCGGTTGATGGAACATGTCAACGTGCCCACGCACCGAGCAGACAGAGCAGTGGTGCTCAGTCCGCCGGCTGTCTGTCTGTCAGTAACTGACGGACCTGGGCAAGTCGTGGGACTCGGCTGGAATTATCAGTCTCCAGCGCGGTGATTCATCACTCTTTGAGAGTGGCGAGCGTGCTTGCTCCAGTCAAACGAGGGTCGTGTATGGGAGGCGGGCAAAGGTGCCCATATTCGCCCGGTGTAGAGGGATAGTAAAGAGAGGAGGGAATCACAGTGGCGGAGAGGCCTACAAGAAACGCGCGCAGCACGAAGTAACAGGCACGGGCTGGTTGGCTGGCTGGCTGGCTGGCTGGCTGGCTGGCTAGGGGCAGATATCCGTATCGTTCCCCAGATATCGCCTGATGTGGGAAAACGCCTTGATAGGGCAACCGCCGTTGTGTGGTTTGGACAGACAACAAGAGCAGCACCAAAAGCAACAGCAGCAGCGTGGGAGGAAACCAAGCCAAGCCACGCAGCGCAAGAGAGAGCGTGCAAAAGTTCCCTCGTCTAGAGTGCCAAGAAGGGAAATCCCATGTGCCGTCTTTCGAGAAGGGTCAATTTAGAAGGCCCCCGCTGAGATAAGAGAGCGAGAGATGCTCAAATAGAGGCTGGCCCAGGACGGAGTCGTTCTGGCCGAGTCCTGGTGTACTACGGGTTAGTACAAAGTACCTACTTCTACGAGTCCTGATGCCGCTGCCGCTAGCACGATGGGGATTCAGACGACGGGACAGCCTAGGCACGAGAGCAGGTGGAGAGAGTGGGGGCTAGCAGACAAGAGACAGCAGCATGGTGAGCCAGAGGTGGGATGGGAGGGGATGTAACCTAATGCAGGCTGGTGGCTAACGAATATTGCAACAGCGATGGCGAAGCAAATAATCAGGCCGGGGAAACAAGTAGGGCTGCCGGCCATTGAGCTGGAGTAGCCAGGGGGGTCGGCGTGTGAATGCCAACCATCGGCCAGAAAAAGAAGGTGATATGAACGCAAGCCACCACTCGCCCAGGCCGCATCGCCCAATGGCAGCGCTCTGATACCAACCCCCTGGTGCCGTACGCTCAAGGACACTGTGCTGGGACCGATCGATGATGGCATTTTGCCTACATGGACGCAGTGCCTCGAGCCAACGACGTCTTTCAGGTTGCACAGCTCCCCGACAGTGACCGTCGTTGGGTGGTTCCAGAAGGATTCGGCACCCTGTGTGGCTTTGGTTCTGTCGTGCGTAAACGAAGCCAAAAAGCACGCTTGGTGAGGGATATGCGAGCCACTCAGGCCAGGGCCGAAAAAGAAGGCGCCACAAGATTCAACCACCACCACGACGATTTGCACCGGCACAACCGACAGCCTCGGACGCCGTTACCAGTTCCAAAGGAGTGACCGAGCCAGCCAGCGGGCGGGAAGGATTAGGGCTTCCACGAAATTCCGTCAGGGTCTCTCATTCGACACATGCTCTCTCTGATCCTCAACACGAACTATCTGCGTGTACATATGTATTATTGCCTGCTTGCAAGATACGAAACAGAGGACGTACTGGGTGCCTGTGGCTGTCAACTCCAGGCCCTGAGTCTCGAATTCCGTACGCTAACTAATATAGTACCACTCCGCAAACCCTTCTGGGCAAAACAGGATGAGCGACGGACGACATGTGGGAGAGCGCCAGCAAGCAGGTTCTGTACAGTATATACGGAGGTGGCGCACCTATTTGAGTATTTGACGACATCAACAGCCCTTCGTTCGGCCGACTTCTAGGAACTGACGTTGGCAATCTCCCTTTGTTGGCGGCAATGCGGTCGCCTCGCGATGGAGAGATCAACTCCCAGCCTGTTGCAAATCCGTCGGATGGCGTCCTTCCTTTGTCCGTGCGTGATACCATGGGCGGTGGGCGTGACCAAGCGCTGGAGCCGGGCCGACGATGTCTTGTCTTCAAGCACCCTGTAGCATGATTGCTGCTTGTGCGCTGCGGAACGAGGACTGACAAAGACGGATCGCAGCCAGGGAACAGGCTGGGGGAGGACGTGGGAGACAGCTTTGTGGGGCGCAACGCGATTCAGCAGCGTGGGTGGCACGAAGAAGTCGACACTTTGGACCGAGAGAAGCACAAGCACAAACACGGAGCGCGGCGCAACATGTCGCTGGCGCCTTCGGCCACCGCCGTGGGTCGAGAGAGGAGCCTATCGAGGGTCTGGGGCTGACCCGCGCCGAGACCTTGGTGTCAGCAGCTTCTGCAAGACTAGCAGGGGTTGGTTGGAGTCGAGATGCAACCTTGAATCCGCTTCGCTGGGCACTGTGCTTGCTCTTTGTGGGTGGCATCTCACGAGATCTCAAATCACCAGCGCTCTATGCGAAGTATTACAGGTATGACTCCCGCGCCTGTTGCAATCCGCCCGCGGCCGTGGTATAAAAGAAGCTTATCGTCGATAAGCACGCTTGGAATCCCGCGTCATATACGGAGCAGAGCCCGTCGTCGCCTGTCTTGTCTGCGGCAGTGTTAGCAATGGCGAGGCTGTATCTTCAGTGCCCGCCGTCCGCTTTGCCCACTTGGGGCAGAGCCTGTCCTGGCCAAGGGAACCCGACCCGCTATCAACGAGGGCAAAATGGCTTGCGGCAAAAAGAGAGAAGGGGAGGATGGAAATTTGCGTGCAATTTCAGAGTACGGAGTGCATGTCACCTCCTCTGTTGGCGTTATCTCTGCTGGCGGCGTCGGCGGCCACCTAGCGCAAGAGCCCCAGCTGTTTACGCCATTTTCGAATTTTTCTTCTTTTTCTGCTTCGGCGGCCCCCGTGCAGAGCGCTGAGGGCGAGGCGAAAATCTTGCGGCAGCGAAATTCCAAATCAGCTAGGCCAGCATGATGCCAATATCTTCCGAACGGGGACGGTTTCCAAATCACATGCTACTGACTGCTCATTTCATATGCAAAGCATGGACTCTTTCATGCGACATCTTTGGCGTTGAAGAGGTGAGCCCAGCCAGTGCTGCGAGGAGTATGCAGTACTGTACCTCCAGAGCCGGTACCCTGCCCACTTCCACATGGCGGAGAAATACCTGTGCCTGGGTAACTTGCCATGGAGCGCGAGATCTCTCTCGTACTTGTGCCCCGGTGCCTCGTTTATCATTTTCCCGGCCGACCGTTCAACATTACAGACCGAGCCTCATCCGCGGCGCTGCTGCTGATGGGGCTCACTCAAAGACGATGAGTTCGTCTGAGCAGTGCAAGCTTATCACTCGGCGACGAATGACGACAGACTCTGCAGATTTCTCACGCTTCAAGGCAGAGAGGGCAGGGCATCATTCAAAGTGGGCAGTTCGGAGTGCCTGTCCATACACGGGAGGTTCAGCAGAGTGGCATGGGCAGTGCGACGAATTGCGAGCAGGTCGCATGCAATTCATGGCTGATTTCCGAGGCATGCAACGCTCCTGGCCCGGCCTGCCACTTATTACTTGCTGCTAGTGCCTCGTACCGTCAGCCGAGTTGGCCAGGGCCGTTCCAGGTCGAGACCAATGACGTTGGATGGTGGGCATACGACCAGCAATGCTCAAGTGGTGGCTTGTTTTAGCATTACCAATCGCATGGCCTTGACTGGGTGCCAGGATGGGATCCCGATTCGAACGGGGGAGGCGCTCTTAAGTTCGGGAGGAAGCCGCATGCATCACGTTCCCCTGAAAAGCCATCCCGGCTGTGAGGGACAACGCTCGACCATCGCGTCCCAAGTTCTAACACGCAGCAAGCGTTCTCTTTCTCGGCAGCGCTGGAGGGACGACCCTGGGGATGGGGACCAAGCCGGAACACTGCCGAATTACTACATAAAAGGAGCGCGTGCTAATCGTGCCCAAGAGGCCAATATTGATGCGGGGACTGACAAGCGGAGCTCAGAGTTGCCGCCGACTGCTGGAACCCTGCCGAGATGCCCTTGGAACGATCCACCTGCTACTTCTCCAGCGCGCCCGTGCGAGCTGCGATTCCAGCTCCCTCTTCCTGTGCTGTGCTCCGTTGTGGACGGAATAACCAGCCAAGATTTGTCCGGATCATCGAGACCCGTCGAAACAGCCACTGGGAGTCGGGGGAGGCACTCGCTGCGATTCTCGAGGCAGAATGTGCCCCTTGCTCGTGACTAGACAGATGTCTGACGCACCTTGACGTTCAGCCCGCCAGCTCGAAGCCGAGGCTCATCAGTGGCAGTGGCTTGCAGGAAAAGACTTCTCTCGGGGACGGCTCGGCTTCGAGCTGTGCCAGCCAGCCCCGAGCGTGCGCCTAACCCAGAACTCACTGTATGGAGCGCTCCGACGTCTGCCAGCACCGCTACCCGCAACGACCTACTACTCCAACATCAAGATCTCCAAATATCGAGCCTACAACATATGGTTGCGTCGTATCTAGGCCTCATTCATATAAGCCCATGGCCAAGATGTCGGGGTTCAATTTCCATTAGTAGTGATTTTCCGGAGAGGCCCTCCAGAGTGGACATTTCCCCAGGAAATGCCATGCCATCAGACGGCAGACAGTGCATGCTGCTTCCCGACGATAGCCGCCGGTCCGCTGTGGCGGTATCTGGGGACTTGAACGACCTCCTTTTCCGGGGTAAGGCTGGCCAGCCTCGTCGAGATGGGACGAATCGGTTCGCTCCTTTGGTTCTGCAGGATGGACGAAGGATAGTGCCAAGAAGAAGCGAGCGTGGGAGGCAGAGGGACTATTGTCGGTGCCGCGAACTTTGTCCTTGATATGCAGAGTGAGTTGAGCCTGAAGTCGTCTACCCAGCAAACGTGCGGAGACGGAAGCATGCCACTGCTCGACATGAATGCCGCTTCGAATTGCATCTGTTCACAAGCAGAGCCTCTCGATTCTGGGATGACAGCTGGTGGCCTTGGAGAAGAGTCTATGTCTTTTTTTATCCTTCGCCTTCTGGCTTGCCATGTTGTACAGCAGAGTGCCCGCGCTCCGCGTTTGCATCGTTGTGAGATCCGGGAACGACGAGCGCTTACAGTGTGAGCGAATGTTACGCCATCGAGTTTGAATGACATGCTTTGCAGATCTAGAATGACCAGGGGCGTCATGTGCTACGCAACGACGACGAACCAGACCTCATAGAGGCGGGAAAGCTCCAAGCTGAAGCAAAGACATTTCGCCCACCATGGCACTTGTCTCAGTCCCGGAAGGGAAGCTTCCGGACGCCTTGTCCCATATGCTCTCGATTCCTTGTTTGCCAGCACGGCTTCAAAGGTGCCTACATGCATGTTTGAGTCCGGGAGAAGCAGCCTCCTTCTCGAGGAATCACATGCCCCTGAGCAAAGTCCTCGGCAGGATTTACTGCTCCCCTGCAACGACGCCCAGTGTGCTGTGCCACACATCTGTTTGCTGCTCAGCCCTGTGTCTCTGGCCGCTCTCTGCGGCCCCAGCGTCCAGTCACCGTATGCCGGCATATTCATATGCGCTGTCGTGGGTCTTTGGACGGGGTACCGTAGTACAGACTTGCAGTCAAAGTTCTGAGTTTGACTCTTTGCTTGCCGTATAGCCGCGAGCTCAGCTTGCAGCGGGTAAGGGTGGGAGTTGCGAAAGGTCCAGAAGAGGGTCTACCGCTCAGCTGAAAAGAAGGGCCTGCACTTACATACGACACTCATTTCAACATGACACAGCAGAACCGCGCACGGTCTTCCAAAGGTCGTCGCGAGTGGAAACAGTAGGGAGGCATAGACGCGTTAGTTTCGCCATCTTTACGGGCTACTATCTCGTACATGCCAACACAGCCTCCTTTGTCTAAGAACTGGTTCGAGCCTGTCTAGCCTTGTTGTATCTTATTCTGTACAAGGATGAGACAGCGGCTTGCGGTGGAAAAGGCGGATGGGCCCCCTCCATAGAAAGGGCGAATCACTATGCTTGTTAGGCTTTTTCAGGGTGGTGACACGGTGGCGAAGTGCGAGGCTCTGTCGATGACTTGCACGCTTTGCATGGACTTCTGTGAGCCGTGCTATACGTGAATAAGGGGGGGATTGGTGTTGTGAAGATGCCGACTTAGGAGTTGAGTTGAGCTTGGCAGATGATGATGTGGATGAGCCGACATGGGAAAATAATGGAAACGGCGTCCGAGATATAAAAAAGATATGTTGTGCTTGAAGCTCGTTTTGGGCCCAAAGAGGATTAGGCCTGCTACTTGAAGTCCTCTCTCTCTTCTTGCAGTAGACTTGGCTGGAGAGAGTTGCCGTAGAACTACGAATGCGAAAACACTTGCAATAGGCTTTCAACGGGGAGCCTCCAAAGTTCAGCTGGAAACGGGTGTCATAATTAGGAGTATCGCCATTTGAAGGAGATGAACGCGTGAAGGGAACATTGAACTCTTCCAGGACATGTCGCCGGTGGAAAAGACGTAACTGGCACTACTCCATCTCTGAGAGACACCGACAGTCTTGCCAGCTTTGTAAAGTGACAACCCGGCAAGAATCGATGGAAGGAATCAAGGCAACGCCGTTGTATAAATGCTCAATGATGGGACTTATTGGTGGACTAATACGTTTGCTTTTCGCAAAGTTCAGTTCCAATATACGGGCGTGGTTTTCAACGAATGATATAACAAGGACGAAGCGACGAAACGAAAAGAGGAAGCGAGCAAAAGTAGATAAAGTTGCGGGTGGAAGAAAGTGCCAACCCAAGAAACAGAAACCATGTAAGCTATGCCCCCAGTGTAATACTGCAAGTTTTTCAACAAACATACAACGGGAAACTCGATTCTTCTGTTGAGTTTTTTTTCAGGGGGATGGCGGATATGTGTTTCTTTTTCTCCCTTAATTGTTGGGCAAGTTTTGCTTGTGGCGATGAGTTTAGGTCTTGAAGAAATGACATGGAAGGTTTCTTTATGTGGGAAGGTTGTTGCAGACGTTTAAGAAGAGGAACTAGAAAGCTCCTGAATGGGCTTTGCATGCGTTGCGGGAAGAAGCAGAAGAAGAAGAAGAAGAAGAAGGGAGGGGGGTTCTTGGCAAACTTTTAAAGAAAAGCTTCCCTCAGACGAAGGGTTTTGTGTAAATATGTTATTCTGTCTGTGAGGCAGGTTAAGGTATTCGGCGAATGGCAAACCGCGTTCTTCGTTTCAAATGAGAGGGGGGTTTTCTTGGGTTTCTTTTGTCTATTTCAGGGGGACGAAACTGTATCTTATATGAGGGTAATATGAAAGCAGAAGTTGCCTCTTCCCATTTGAAGTACAAGATACACACGCATTTTACAGACAGACAGATATGTATAGATTATGTAGGTAGAGACCGGGCCCTTGACCATCTGATCTACGACAACACACAGAGAGGCATATATATAGAGTTATATAAGGTATAGGCACCTCAAAATGATCTACACTATCCTCTCCAACAAGCGTACTGTGTCCTTTTCCAGAGACAAATCCATCTTTTTTCGCCCTTCAAAACACAAAAAGCACTGGAAAAGCATAAACCCGCAAGAAGACCTCTCCTCACGCAAAAAAACGAAGATTAATATGTATAGACTATGCGTCATATAAACCCAAACATCACGCTACCAATTGTTTCCGCCTTTCTACCCAACACAATCATTATACACAATGCCCATCCTTTCTGTATAGAAACCGGGTGGTGTGGTTTTCTTATTCCTCGCGGAAACGTGTTTCCCACATGTTGTTAGCATCGAGACGCAAACTAGATACTTTAGAGCAAAGAGGCATTCATTCACCGTTCGGACTATCAAAGCAGACATGTCCAAGTTGAAAACGCACAACGTCAAGCTTCTCAAAGCACAAGCAAATAGAAACTCAATTAACTATCCTACAACTCTAATAATTACCCTACCAAAAGCCAAAACAAAACAGCAAAAGTGAACCCGGCTACCGAATGTCCACCCCCATGATCCATTTACGCATACGCATGACAATTACCAGACCCCCTCCTCCTCCTTCTTCTACTGATATAATGAAGAAAAGAAAAACTATTGATACAGAACAGTCTACCTACCAGACCCCCTTAATCAAGGCAGATTGCCAGAGCGACAAAGCTGACACGTCACATTTATTGTCAAAGCAAGGTTCCGAAATACATATAGAAAAGGAAAGAGGCAAAGAAAAGCAAATCCTGATCCCAAGCCAAAGAAAACACACCCAACTCTGCCGGATGATCTCCAAGTCGCTCCCTTTCCTCCCCTTACAGACGCAAGGGTCTCTTGCGAATCTGAACCATCTTGCTCTACCTGCAAAGAGCTCCGGGTGTGTCTTCATGCAATACATCTTTTCGCCCTCTACCGCCCTATAACTCCTGGTTGTACGGGCTTTCTGTCCATTTTCCGTGTTGAGATAGCAAGAACGCGTGAAATTGAATGCTGGCGCCAGTATAGTCCTGATGCCAGAAGAAAAAAGGAAAAGTTGATGATGAAGCGAGGAAAAAAAAAAGGCTGATGTGAGCCGTCGAGCCCAAAAGCATCAAACATGCCGTGACAAGATCACCAAAGTGTTGTCTGATTGGGCGCTGTCTGCTCAAAGAAAGCAACACGTTCCATAACGGTGAAAGCACAGGGAGCTGTGTCGCTCACACTTCGGCTCCTTCAACCTCCTCCCTGAAACGGATGCCGCCTTCGACAGAGATGGCATCTCGCACCCAAGGCGTGGCCGACACTTGCGGCAGTGTCCATCGACTTCGAGCACGCTTAAGGAGGCCTTCCGTGATGTGCATAGCGTCGAGCAGGCCCTTCTCCTTGAAGCGTGCTTCATTCGCTTCGTGGTCGCCGTCGTCGCCTCCGTACTCGATCCAACGCCATTCACCTCTCGCAATCCGGTGACTCTTTCGACTACGCATTCTATGAGAGTCGTTCATCCCCGGAGGAGGATCAAATGGAAGTCGAGATTCGAGGAGGGCGTAGAGAAGCACACCCAGCGACCACGCGTCAGTGGCACGGCCGTCGTAGGGTTGGCCCATGATGACTTCGGGAGCAGCATAATCCTCCGATCCGCAGCGTGTCTCAAGCTTCTCGTCTTCGGCTATCCGCCTGGACAAGCCCAGATCCGCCAACGCAGTGACTGAATACGGATATGTGGCCCAGTTGATGGATGGATCGGCAAGTTCGCTGGGAGTGAGATGGACAAGGACGTCTAGTGTGCGTGTTAGCAAGATTTGTTCATCTGCTGTGCCAAATACTTACTCTCAAGCTTAATGTCACGATGAACAATCATCTGCTCATGGAGATACTTTACAGCACCAACCAGCTCGGCAAATATGCGTCTCAGTAAAGGCGGCGTCAACAGCTTTCGGTGGGCTGTGGCCACATCAAACAAGTCTCCTCCAGGGCAGTACGTCAGAACAAGGATTGCTCTGGTAGGCTCAATGTTCCACGCCTTGAGGTTGACCAGGCTGGGATGATGGATGCTCTGCATGATTTCGAGCTCGCGTTTGAGACTCATCTCCACCCGCTCTTCGCTGGCTCCTCCTTGAGGACCATGCTCGCACACCTTGATGGCGACCAACGTCTTTCGGTCAAGCGGGGGATCGGCAGAAGTCTGCTTGGGCTGATCCATCTGACTGGTAGCCAATACGACTCTGCTGAACGTGCCTTGGCCCACAGTTCGCACGGAGCGCCAGCGCCTCCGTTTCCGATCATGGCGGTCGAAGGCCTCAAAGTACTCATACTGCGACGTCGAGGCGGCTTCGGCCGAGTCTCTCGAGCTCTCACTAGGAGGAGGCGTCGGCGGCTTCGCAACGCTGGGAGACAGGCCGCGCGACTCTGCCAGGTTCTGTTCCCTCTTCATCTGGGGGCGTTGGACCTCGGGCTTGGCGTGCGGGCCAGACACGGAGACGATCCTCTTAGGAATGGCGGCCGGATCTGGCTTGTATTCGCTGAAGCTTCGGTTCCTCGTATGTGGTATTTGGGGTTGCTGCGCTTGCTGAGAAGGTTTCGGTAGAGGCTGGTTAGCCTCGTCATGCTCGGCCAGGCTCGCATATGCTTTGCGTCTCGAGGAAGGTGCCGTCGTGTTGGGGCCCTTGGTTACCCCTACCGGCGCCCCCATGGCTGGCAAGTCTTCTCCGACGCTGCTCAGCAAACTGCGGTGCTGAGGCGGCGATACGGAGCCTGCCAACCTCCTCCATGGTCCAGGCGACTCTCCCGACAGAAGGGGGCTCGGTAAGGGCGTCACGTCTCCCATGGCGGCGATCATAGGACTCGAGATAACACTATTTGTGCCGCTGGCAGATCCAATTGACTGCGCAAGGGCAGCCTTGAGACTAGGGGTTCGCGTCAACAGGCGAATACTGCTGGAAGACGACTTGTGATTCAGAGGCGTGGGGATGCGAATGGGTGAGAGGCTCGTGTAACCAGTCGGAGACTCGCGATGGTAGGCGGAAGGGGAAGTTATGGAGGAAGAAGGTGCAACGTTGGTGGAGATGCGGAGGGACGAGTAGGCATCGCCGCGAGAGGCGCCAGTGTCTACCGGACTTCTGTCGTGAATAGCAGCAGCATCTTCAGAAGGAGCAGACTGGACTGGAGGCGACGGAGCGATGGTTGTTGACTGAAAGCTGACAAAGGGCGGAGGATTGCAGCCGGCAGAGGAGGAGGAAGAGGCGGAGGAGGCGGAGGAGAAGGCTGCCAAGGCTAGTTGGCCATCTGGAACAAATGCCGGCGCGTTGCGTTGGGGGTAGGGCCGGATGTCAGACTCGGAATGACAGCTGGAACTCGGGGTCAGGTTGACGTTGTCAGAGCTGGCCGTGGAGTCGGCATTGGAGCCGCGGTCGTGAGAGATGGAGGACGGCGGAAAGGACGAAGCGTTGCTCATGGCTGACTGAAAGCCTGTCCAACATGAGCATCAGCATCCATCAAATGCGACTCAGAGCAGGCAGGGCATCCCCAGGGCTGCTCACGTACGGCTGACGGTTGCGAGCCGCGTCGGTCAAGGTCAATGTCGCCTGGAGCCGCGGATTCGACGGGTGCAAGAGGCGAGGAACGGCCGGCTTCGGGCGGGACAGCGACAGGGCGAGGACGAGGCACGCGGTGCGGCCAAGGCAAGGCGAGGCGGCAGCAGGGCGTCGCGAGGGAGAGAGAGGTCGCGAGGTGAGGGGTTTGGCAGGGCAGGACAAGAAGAGCGGCGGCGCTCTGCTATGGCGGTGACATCTAGGCTTCGACGCGGTGCCTCTGCGGGCGGTGGAATGCGGCGGCAGACGGGAGAGCTGCGAGTGAGGCGTTGAGGCTTCTGGCGAGTCGAGACGGTCGTTGTCGCGAAGAGTCAACGAAGCTGGAACGACGTTGGCTTGGGTCCGATCCAGCGTCGACGTTCCGGGTACAAGCGAGGCGCATGACATGCCTGCGGGTCTGCTCCCTGTTCATGTACAGAAGCGTGTAGCAGGTACAACCGCCGGCCGGGCGTCTCCACCGCAGCCATAGGGCGAGCGCCAGCAGAGGCTACAGGGCTTGAGGGCGCTGCAGGGCCGGCGCTAGCCCGAAGCGGAGCGGGCGGTACGTTACATAAAGTACTGGACTGGATTGTGCGAGCGAGTGCTTGCAACCACAGGGCCCACGGCTGATGGGGATTGTTTGATTTCAGCTGGAACCATTACTACTGTTTCGCAGCATCTTGTGAGGCATCATGTACTGCACTCAAGATGTATCGGAACGGCGTCAATCAGGCATCATGCAAAGCATCCCATCACCGAGCACATGTGATTCAGCATCATCGGCTTATCGCCATTGTCGCTGCAGCAGTCGGGCGCATAACGTCATCCGCCCAGCCAGAGCCACAACGTGCATCGGCTCTGGCGAACAAGTGGACTCGTCGAAAAGCGGGGCATGCAACCTGCTGGGCCACTCAGAGCTTCAGCAGCTGCCGGGATCCGTCCTTGTCTGTTCTATGAGTGGCTTTAGCGTCTCAACTCCACGTGACAAGATCCCGGCCGTGTGGCTCAATGGCAGAGCGTCTGACTACGATAAGTACATCAGGAGGTTGCAGGTTCGACCCCTGTCTCGGTCAAAGATATCGTCACCGTCCAACTTGCGTTGGATGTTCTTTTTTCGCTTTCGGGACCTCTTTTTTTTGCCTTTGTGGATTCCGGCGGCGAAAGTTCTTGGAGCAATTGGCTTGGCCCTTCAGCCACAGTTCAATGGCCGTGTGGCTCAATGGCAGAGCGTCTGACTACGATTAAGTATATCAGGAGGTTGCAGGTTCGACCCCTGTCTCGGTCACGAGATCGATTCCCAATTCTACTGAAGCGGGATTCATTTCTTTTTGTTTCGCCTTTTTCTCACCTGGAGCCTCACTTGTACTTTTTACTTGATGCTGTACTTCTGTGATTTCGCACGGCTTCCCTCTTCGGGCTAAGCAAGTGCTTGCCCGTGACTGTTTGCGATGAGATGCCTGCGGTTATTCGATCAAGACCAATGCCGGATCGTTAGTTGTGATGGACAAGCGATATGACGGTTCCAATTAGCGAGTGTCACCATCCATGTTATCAACTTGGGATGAGCCTTGATACAAATACTACTTGGCTGTGATGGACAGGGATTCCACGTGATTCAGTGTGAGATTGACTTGGAGTTTCAACAGACGAAATGCTCGCACATGACCTATTGTGATGAGAATCAGGATCAGGTACCTTGTGGTTAGGGAGTTGCCCAGCTTCAGTGAGACAGATTAGCACTAGAAACGAGGAACTTAGCAATTAGATGGAGATTGGGAATTTTCATACTATGACATGTTTGCCTTCCCTTGTAGGTCTGCTCTACAAGATGGGCTGCGAGCCTTGAAGACAAATCTTTGGTGTAGATGACCGGTACCTCGCGCTAGCGCCAATTGCGGCGGGAGACCAGGTACCGCCGCCATGGGTTTTAATTGATTCTGCCCCACGTCTCGACGCGTCAAGTCGCGTCTCTCACGCTCTGCCAATTCTCAACCACCACAACCCATCTCATATCCGGTGACAGTTCGGCTTCAACAGTCACGATCCGCAGCAGCAGCCATGATGCGACAAGACCACAACAGAATCGACCCCAAGCGGCGCAACGTCGTCGACCACCGCAAGAAGCAGTTTGCCACGCCCCAGTTTAAAGAGACGCAGTATCCCCATCGCCTCAACTTTTACGCCGATGCGCCGACGGCAGACATTACTCTCGAGCAGTTTGAGCAATGGGCCATTGATCGACTACGAGGTGACTTGAGAGCTTCAGCGAGGTTTATGTTATACGCAGCTGACATGTACCAGTCCTGGCCGAGCTCGAGGCGTGCTCCTTTCGCAACCGGTCGCCTGCAGAGACGGCCTCGCACATGAAGCCCATCCTCGACAAATACCTGCCGCTCGACTCCAACAGCTCCAGCAACACAAAGCTGCTGCTCTCGCAGCGCCAAAAGGACCACTACAGCCACTTCATCCTGAGACTAGCCTTTTCGTCCACCGAGGACCTCCGCCGGAGGTTTGCCCGCGTCGAGACGATGCTGTTCCGGATGCGATTCAACAGCGACGACCTGAGCGAGCGAGCCGCGTTTGTATCCAGCCTGGATCTCGACTGGTGGGAGCCCGTGACGGACGAGGAGAAGAGGCGGTATGCTGCCGAGCTGGCGGCCATGGCGAGCGGAAAGAAGACGAGCAGCGAGGACGAGACGTGGTTCAAGGTGGACTGGGAGCGAGTGCCCGACTTGGTGGAGAGCCGGAGGGTGTTTTTGAAAGCCGGAAAGGCGTATGTGCCTGGGCGAGAGCAGTCGAGCATGGTGGTGGCAGAATTCACGAGCCGACTTGAAAGACAACTCGAGGTGAGTCCCCTTGCTGCAGATTTCCAGCCTCGTGGAACTGACAATGTCCCCCCCATCAGCTCACAGCACGAGCACTGCCTCGGCTGGACGAAGACGACCGGTTAACGCCCATCCTCAACCACCTCTCCAAAAACTTCATCACCCCCGACTCGGCCTACGTCTCTGGCTCCACGGCCGTCGACGGAGCACAAATCTCGGCCGCCAACATCGACAACCTCTCACAACACTTCCCCGCGTGCATGTCCAACCTGCACCGGTCGCTGCGTCGCGATGCTCACCTCAAGCACTACGGCCGTCTCCAGTACACGCTCTTCCTCAAGGGCATCGGCCTGAACCTGGAAGAGTGTCTCGCGTTCTGGCGCGGCGCCTTCCACAAGGTGACGGACGACACGTTCAACAAGGAGTACCGGTACAACATCCGCCACGCATACGGCGACGTTGGCGGCGACTCGAATCGGCGGGGCGGCGGTTACAGCCCGTTTAGCTGTCAGAAGATTCTCACCGAGCATCCCCCGGGACCTGGCGAGGCTCACGGGTGCCCGTACCGGCATTTCAACATGGACAACTTGACCTCCTTGGTGCAAGCCATGGGGGTAACTGATCGGTCGGTGCTGCAAGGTATCAAGGAAGACAAGGATAACCAAAAATTTCACATGGCATGCAACCGGTACGTTGTCAATTTTTTTTTTCTGTCCCATTGCTCCCCGGGATCTTTGTAGGTTCTATAGCTGTTACGGAGAGCTAACTCGTCCCCCAGCGTCTTTGACCACTTGCACAAGGCCGAGATCAAAAAGGCCAAGGATGAAGGCATCATGACGAGCAACCAGCTCGAAACAATTGTGCATCCCAACGAGTACTTTAAACGGAGCTATCTGCTGAAGAATCTCGGCAAGGAGTCCGATGTTAAGATGGAAGGCTAGACGATGTCTGTATCACAGCTACGCCTTCCACGTAACAAGGCTTTCGAACGAAGATGCGATGCATGTGGTGACACATATGCGCTATCATGGCGGCCATGAGCTACACAAACCATTGGATTACACAATACGGAGGACAGCATTGGGATGAACCAAAGGCGTCTGATCAAGAACCGTACCAGGACATGAGATATGGAGGGACACTGTCGACCATTGCGTCAAAGCTATGTATGTATCACGATGAACAGATATCACCAGACAATCAACGCCAAACAAGATCAAAGGACTGTTCCTTCGCCATCGTCATGATCGACAACAGTTCCCCCTCCCGGATATCTCGTCCTGATCTTGTTTAGAGTAGCATCCACTCCCCTTTCCTGCCCCAACACCACCCACCCCCTCCCTTGACGTCTTCCCATCCCCCATTGCAGAAAAAAACCCCTACAGCGAAGCTAAAGCAAGACCTGTCCTGCTAACGACGTAGGTACCGCAAAAGTCATCATGGTTCATGCACGCTTTTTTGTGGTCCAGAATGATGTAGTGCATGACATATGGGCAGAGAACACACACACACAAGCAAAAAAAAAAAACCAGCCCGCATGCATCATCTCATCATGAGGCATGGCATGATCCCGGGGGAAGGAGGGGACCCTTGGATTCCCGAGGGAGGAGGGGCTACGGATACGCCCGGTGTTTTTTCCCCTTGTGCGTGCGGGCTATTTTGATGTGAGGTGATGTTATGGGATCTGGGAGACCCGGTTTTTAGAGGATGGGATATACATATGGGAGGAGGATGGATATCAAGGGTTTTATGGTTCATGGGGGTGTGAGTTTGCGCGTTTTGGGCTTGTTTGGATAGTTGTATAAACGGGGTTGTTCGGTTTCCATGTCGGAGATATCTCGTGGTGCTTCAGATACAATAACGTGCAAAATCATTACAGAGCAGAGATGGCGAGACTCGTCCGATATTCCGAGGCAGGCTACATTATCTATCTGGAATCACTGTGAAATTCCACGGAGAAAGGACTCCATAAAACGTCAGATTTAACGCCCTGAAACCGTGAGGATTTTCGCCCATCCATAGGTAGGGTAAGATGGGCACACAGGTCAAGAGATCTCATC